GGGAGGCTGAGGTGAGTGGATTGCCTGAGCCCGTGGGTTCGAGACCCGCCTGGACAGGCGAGACCTCATCTCTACAATAAATAAAAAAAATTAGCCGTGCGTGGTAGCACGCGCCTGTAGTTCCAGCTACTCGGAAGGCTGAGGTGGAAGGATCGTCGGAGCCCAGCAGGTCGAGGCTGCGGTGGCCGGGAACGGCCACTGCACTCCAGCCTGGGTGACAGAGTGAGACTCCAACTCAAAAAAAACAAAAAACAAAAGAATAACATCCATTGTGAGCAAAGCAGCAGAAAAATGAACTGGCTCCATCACTCTTGTGGGAGCGTGAACTGTTGCATTCTTTCTAGAGAACAAGCTGACAATATATAACCTAGATCCTTAAATATGTTCATAATCTTTGACCCAGAGATTCTAATTTCAAAAATTTTCCCATGGAAACAAGCATATATGGACAAGGATTTATGTAAAAGGAGGTTTCTGAAAGTGATATTTATAATGTAGAAAAACCAGAAATAAATGTACGCCACTGTACTCTAGCCTGGACAACAGAGTGAGACTCTGGCTAAAAAAAAATTAAAATAAAAAATAGTATTTTTCCTTTTAAAGAATTACAGGCCCCACAAACATCCAAATGACCTTCACAGTGGTCAACTTGAGAAGCTATACACATCTTTCCAGCAGTTTACTGTTTAACTTATTTTTTACTCCCCGCTTTAAAATTTTCTATGGCCAATTTATAAAGCTTATAGAAGATTAATATCACTGCTTTGAAGTTACAGGTTTGAGTCAGAATCACCTGAGTTGATTATCCCATCTTGATCATCAGACTTAACCACAAACAACTTTTAAAAAATTGCTTTCAATAGTCAAATCTTCCTCCGAAGAACGAAGATTTGCCATGAGCGACTCTATGCAGAATGTGCTTTAGGCTCCACAGGTGGTTGAGTGTAGACTCTGCCAACTCACTGGGGAGGCCCCTCTCTAGGCCAGGTGCCTCGTCCTGCCTGTTTCCCTCAGGTGCCATCCCTCCAGCCTGGGTGCTAGGCCTGCCTACATGCTGGTTGCTGAGAGCACACATGCCCATGGAACCTGCAGTGACAACCCAAGAATGGCGGTAGGATGCGACTGATTAGTGACTTACGTGCACCTGAATATCAACGCAACCGGTTAAGTTGCATTTAAAAACTTGTTGCTTTTGTGTTGCTGGATCAGTCTTCTCCAAATTGTGGAAACTGACTTGGACCTCCTTTATCTATTGCTCTTAGTTAAGATAACAACTCTGGTTGACTCTGGAAAGGGCTACATCTAGTGGGACGAGGTCCCCACCGATGCTGCCTGGGGTCCCCTTCCCAGCCTTTGCCAGGCCACTGGAAAGGCAACGTCTAGGAGCTGAAACCTCAAGCTCGAGAATACTGTTTCTGAACCTCAAACTCCAGAAAGAACTTTGGGCATACTGGTTTTCACAAGAAGTTTTCTTTTTCCTGTTGAAAACACGTTCTCAGAGGCAAAGGGAAGCGGGAAGTAGCTAGAAGCAGTTTTCTGTGCTGTCTTGAAGGAGAGGCCATCACCTTTCTCGCTTAAGGTAAATCATGTAAGCACAATATGCCTCAACTGCTTTTTACTTTTTCTCCTGTTAAAACAGAAGCTAATGCTGGGCATGGTGGCTTACGCCTGTAATCCCAGCACTTTGGGAGGTGGAGGCGAGAAGACTGCTTGAGCCCAAGGGTTTGAGATCAGCCTGGGCATCTTGACAAGATGTCGTCTCTACAGTAAATCAGAAAATTAACCGGGTGTGGTGGCGCATGCCTGTGGTTCCAGCTACTTGGAAGACTGAGGGTGAAGGATTGCCTGAGCTGTGAGCGTGTCAGCGTGTCACTGCCCTCCAGCCTGGGTGATGACTCAAAAAACAAAAACCAAAAAAAAAAAAAAAAAGCTAAGATTTACTATAACTATAAAATCATAAGTTGAGCTAAAGAGGATACAAATAAAAATCAAGCTTACATTCCTTATTTTCTGTTTACTCTTATCTCCTCCATCTATCTCTGAATTAAGTGAACCCTGATGCTCACCCATAGCTGGGGTCAAGGGAGGATGAGAAAAGCCACCACCTTAAGGTATTCAGGGACAGAGCTGGCACCAGCATTTCTACTTCCCAAGGCCCTGGCCCATACTTGGCCCACGGGCACACTGCTGATTGTTCATGTAAGGAGCAGTCCTGACTTTAATGGCAGTTACTTCACTACTTGAGAAACAAAAGGCCCCGAAATTGCCACCTCTCTTCCTCTCTTCCCAGCTACTCGCTAAAGACTCCACGTTCTCTGGTTCTTTCATACTTGACATGAGCCCGGAAGAAAGCCACCTCTGGGACATCTTCAAGAGACTCAGGTAGAACGCTCTAGTTTAATCCTGAGAGAAAGAACTCACCTCCGGCATGATTTCAATCTTCTCGTACCGGCGTTTGAAGGGCAAGGCGAGGACCTCGGCCCGCCGGTAGGACATGGCAGGGGGCTGGCAGTCGATCAGGAGGTCCATCCTGTGGGACTGGGCCGGCGGCGGCTGGGTGTACTGCTCGGGGCAGACCACGTGCAGAGGCTGAGGAACCAGCGGGACAGGGTCAAGGAGAAGGCGAGGGGACAGAGGCCAGGCAGAGGGCAGCCCGCGCATGAAGGCCCATTCCTTGCTCAGATTCTGCCTTCCCTGCCTCTGACAGAACAACTCCGTGGCACTAGCCCCACTAGCCCCATGTGCAGCAAGGGCTGAATACGTGTGTCAAGTGAATGTCTGTTTCAGCTTCATGAATGCGTTTCTGGAATGACTTTTTTTGGTGAGGGCAGTGTGGGATTTACTTTGAAGTTGGCACAGATGGTCCTCATAAAAAAAAATACGAGACTGTTTACAGTTTCTTTCCCTTCCACTTTTGATCTTTTTAGAACAGAGATTCTCTTTCAGTGTGGAAAGAGCATTCCTTTTAAGTGGGAATGGTAACCAGTGTGTGTGCCAGGATTCTGCAGCATTTGAGGCTTGAGGAAGACAAGAATCAAATGCAGTTAGGTGTCCCTCCCTCACGCCAGATGCACACGCCTACAGAGGTGACACGACCACATGAAGACACCTGCAATTTTCTTTGTTACCTGCACTTCTTTAAGCAACTTTGACACCTGGATGAAATTCAGCCGTGTATCAATAGGGCAGTATATGCATTTCATGGCCAACGGCTGGTAGGGAGCCAGTGCTTCTAGGTAGGAGAAATCCGGTTCTAGAGAAGTACAAACAAGACATTTTAAAATGCAGGCACCAGTGGGGTTTGGTGGGTGTTTGGCTCGGGTTGGGCCAGGTGTCAGACCGAGGTTTCTAACTTCAGAGTTTTTTACTAAGATTTCCAAAACTCAAGGCACACTGAAGACCATAAACCGATAAAATAATCTAGTGATTATCTAAGCAAGTCCCCTACTTCACCTTATTAAAGGACTTGTTTTCCCTGAGGGCTTTGTCCCCAGAGAAAAAGCTGTGGCCAGAGTAAAATACAATCAAAGGAGAAAGAGCCACCTCAGTAAAGAATCCCTCAAGGGTAAAACAAGACAGTTACTGGAATTAGTTAACAGCTTACAAAACCCTATCAAAAAGCAGTTCAGTAGAATTCCATCTCAGGAAAACATCTTCGAGCACACATATGAAAGCTTGTTTGACACCCAGTTACCTAACAGCACGTATAGCTCTACTCCTTCCTTTGTGGTTTCTTTATTTTTGGTACTTACAATGAAGAGTGTTTATACTTATGCCTTTCTAGAAAATCCTTCCCAAAATTTTACCTTCTCTACCTTGCAGGTACATTCACTAATGGCCCCAGCGGAAAGGGCAGAGCTTTGCTATCTTTTATTTACCTGTGAATATGACAGTGTTGAGACTAGACTTTCCCCAGAGCTCCATGAAGTGGACCACATCCCCAAACCGGAGGGAAGGGTGCCCAGTGAACACCACGCACGGCTGTTTGAAATCGTTGCTGAAGTCTCCGTGGATACTGGGGTAGTGCTTCAGCTTATTGGTCTGAATGAGCTAGAATACACATAAAAATACACAGAGAGATGTTAGCCTCCCTGGGCTGAAGGTGGGAGGATGAGCAGGACTGAATTAAAAATAGAAATGAAGAGGACAAGCCAAGACTGGGAGAAAAAATTTGCAAAAGACACATCTGAAAGGGAACTGTTACCTGAAACATACACTCTCTTAAACCTCAACAACAAAAAAAGAACAACCCTATTAAAAAGTGGACAGAAGATCTGAAAATACACCTCATCAAAGAAGATATACAGATGGTGAATAAGTATGTGAAAAGATGCTCCACATCACATGCCACTAGGAAACGGCACATTTAAACAGCAACAAGATGCCACTACACACCTGTTAGTGTGGCCAAAATCCAGAACACTGATAACATCAAATGCTGATGAGGCTGTGGAGCAACGGGAACACTCACTCATGGCTGGCGGGAACACAAAATGGCACAGCCACTTCGAAAGATCGTTTGGAGGCTGAATGGGGTGGCTCAGCCAGTCATCCCAGCACTCTGGGAGGCTGAGGCAAGAGGGCTGCCTGAGCCTGGGGGTTCGAGACCCACCCGGGCAACTTGGTGAGACCTCGTCTCTACAATAATTCAAAAATTAGCTGGGTGTGGTAGCATACACCTGTAGTTCTGGCTACTTGGAAGGCTGCGGCAGAAGGATTGCTAGAGCCCAGCAGGCAGGCGCTGGGGTGGCCGTGAGTGTGCCACTACACCCAGCCTGGGTGACAGAGTGAGACTCCTACTCAAAAAAAAAAAAAAATAGTTTGGCAGTTTCTTGCAAAATGAAACATATGCTTACCATATAAACAGGCAATCATGCTCCTTGGTGTTTACCCAAAGGAGCTGAAAACTCATGTCCACAAAAAACCAGCACATGGATGTTTATAGCAGCTTTATTCATAATTACTTAAAATTGGAAAAAACCAAGGATAACAATAGAGAATAAAACAGAATAAAAAAACATAATCCAGAGGCAAGGAAGGGGAGGGGGAAGAAACATAACTGATAGGGCAATTAGAAAGTACAAAATAACATGCTAGATTTGCTTGAAACCAGGAGTTTGAGACCGCCTGGCAAACATAGTGAGATGCCCGTCCCTACAAAAAATAAGAAAAATTAACCGGCTGTGGGGTGCATGCCTGTAGTCCCAGCTACTCAGGGGGCTGAAGTGGGAGGATCACTTGAGCCCAGGAATTGTGCCACTGCACTGTAGCCTAGGCAACTGAATGAGACCCTCTGGGGAAAAAAATCAGGTCACACAGTCTCAAACCTGTCTCTAAAGTATGTTTTGAGCCAAAAGCGTCTCCCCTGCAGTACAATGCTTGACAATACTCTCCCGGCGTCAGGCCATCACAGGCAACACCACAGAGAGTTAACAACCACAGAGAGCATCTTGTGATACTGCTCAGAAACTCCACCACCAGCTGCTCAGGACCTGCCCTTCCGCCCCACTCCAGCATCCAAAGAGCAGAGGATAAACACCCACACTTCACAGACCCTAAATATCAACAAGGCCAAAGGAGACACTGTCCTGAGAAGTCACTCAGTGAGTAAAGAAATGGCCTGTGACACGGCCCAATCCTGTGGCCACCACCATGCATGAAAGGATCCAGCCAACATCTTCAAGTGTAAATGAAGTCACCCCCATAGTGAGAAGTGGCCAGAATGGGGACATTCCCCCAGCAGAAACTCAACTTTCTTCACTTTGGAGATTTACCCTTTAATTAAAGACGAGTGATTTTCTTGGGTTTTTTTTTTTGGTTGGAGTCTCACTCTGTCGCCCATGCTGGACTGCAGCGACACGCATGCTCACGGCCACCCCAGCATCGACCTGCTGGGCTCCGGCGATCCTTCCACTTCAGCCTTCCAAGTATCCAGAACTACAGGTGCGCTACCACGCCTGGCTAAGTTTTCTTCTTTATTGTAGAGATGACGTCTCACCAAGCTGCCTGGGCTGGTCTTGAACCTGCTGGCTCAGGCAATCCACTGCCTTGGCCTCCCAAAGTGCTGGGATGACAGGCTGAGTCACCGAGCCCAGCCGATGCCTTTTTTTTTTTTTTTTTGAGTAGGGGTTTCACTATTGCTCAGGCTGGAGTACAGTGACATGATCACAGCTCAGCGTAGCCTCGATCTCCTGGACTCAGATGATCTTCCTGCCTCAGCTTCCCAAGGAGCTGGGACTACAGGTATGTGTCACCATACCCTGCTAATTTTTTGATTTTTTTGTAGAGATGAAGTCTCACTGTGTTGCTTAGGCTGGTCTCAAATTCCTGAGTTCAAGCGTTGTTCTTGCTTTGGCCTCCCAAAGTGCTGGGATTACAGGTATGAGCCACCGTGTCTGGCCAAAGAGAGTGGCTACTAGGAATAATAAATACAATACTATCCTGGAGATCTTCATCACTGTCACGTGCTTGGATAGGATATGAACAGCAAGGATGGAGCAAACATCGAATTCCCACTTTCCTTCCAAGTGGTAAACAAACCCAGGTTCATTCTTTTTTTTTGTTTTTTTTTTGAGTTGGAGTCTCACTCTGTCACCCAGACTGGAGTGCAGTGGCCGCTCCCGGCCACCGCAGCCTCCACCTGCTGGGCTCCGGCGATCCTTCCGCCTCCGCCTTCCGAGTAGCTGGAACTACAGGTGCGCGCTACCACGCCTGGCTGATTTTTGATTTATTGTAGAGATGAGGTCTCGCTGCCCAGGCGGGTCTCGAACCCACGGGCTCAGGCAGTCCACTCACCTCAGCCTCCCAAAGGCGCGGGACTACAGGCTGAGCCACCGAGCCCGGCTGCCAGGTTCTTTTTTAACCTATGTGGTTAAAAGCATTAGTTGGCCCAGCCAAGTGGGTGGGTGGCCGTCTAAAGGACTAGGTCTTATTGTATCAACAGATGTCTGGAGGGTGAATGGCATTCTAAGGACAGTGGCAGGTCTTTGCACACTAAGTGGCTTTTTTCGGCAGCACGTATAGTTCCTGTGGCTCTGCTGAGACATGCATAGAAACTAAGCTAAATCCATCATTTTCTGTCAACTGGATTACCTTTTAGCCAACTGACTACATTTGGCCACTGGAAATGACAATGTAGGGTGGAATTCTGTGCAGTAATCCATCACTGGCACTAAGGGCAGAGACCTATTTTCCCATGGGCAAAGTGAAAATAACAAGAGTTATTTCACTCCCTCATGCCCTACGGATGGCAAGTGCATTTCAGACACCCCAATGGGGCAACTACAGCCTTCCACATTCCTAATCATAAATGGGGCAAGGGCATCTGTGACAGATGTGTGGGAAAGAATGTGGTAACACTCTTAGAAAACAAGTTCTAAAGCGAGGCTAACTGTTATTAGGGGAGAGAAAAATAGACATTTAATAGCAAAGTGCACCACAAATACATTTTGCCACACTTAGTTTTCTGACATTATTCTATTTCCAGCCTGAATTTCACTGTGGTAATAACAGAGCTTGCAAAAACTCTGGCTGCTGTAAAAATATGTAGAGTATGAGGACTGAGAAATAACTCCCTCAAAACCTTCTGCTTGGTACCCTGGTTCACAAAGGACCTCTCCTTTAGAGTAGGAAAACAGTATTTAAATTTACAGTAATTAGCAGGACACTTGTTGCAATCTGCTCTATGTGTCAAACAGTTAATTGTAAAACAAAACAACTAAAGCCCTAAACACATGTATCTGCACAAACATGCTCTAGGCAAAAATAGTCTATCTGCTCTGGCGGAGGAAGGGAGATACATCTGACCATCAAAGTAGTGAGTGTGTGGGGGAGATAATCACAGCTAACATGGATGTGTTATTAAAATAGTATGGCCATCAAAGTCAGGAAATTAACACTGACAACAGTGCCATCTCATCGTCACACCCATTTGGATTTTACCAACGGTATTGATGCTCCTAATAGCAAACAAGCAAATAAAGATTTTTCTTCTCGTGTTCCTAGGTCCGATCCACAGTCACAGGGTGCATCTGTTTGTCACATCTCTTCATTCTCTGAGTAGTTCCTCACTCTTCCCTTGTCCTCTGGGTCTTGACATTCTTGAAGAGTACAGGTCAGTGCTTTTGTAGTGCCCTTCAACTTGTGTCTGATTGTTCTTTTCTCACGATTACATTCAGACTGTGATGCCTTTTTAGCAGAACTATCTATCACAGAAATCACACTGTTTTCTCAGTGGTTCGTACAAGATGGTAGTCTACACACACTGTCAATGGTAGTCCAATTATTGGTGATGTTAATTTTGATCACATGTATGTCAGGTTTATCCAAACTGGTTACTATTTCTCTCTTTGTCATGATTAAGAATTTTGTGGAGATATACTCTGACACTATTATAAGAATCTAGTTCTTCATACAATTTTCACCAACTAGCTTTAGCACTCACTGGTGATTTTTGCTGGATTGTTACTGTGACGACTGCCAAACAGTGATTTTCTATTTCCATGATTCTTTCCTATGTTAATCACGTGGTGTTCTAGTGTCAGAAGAGCTTTCCCTCCCCGATCCCCTCATTTACTTAGCTTTCTCATCATGAACCCAGGAGTTTCTAAGTTCTCCCATGGATTATATTACAGTATTACTTATTTTGAGGCACCAGTGATCTCAGATGTGGTCTTCTGACATGTCCCCATATTCTCTGAGCACACAGCAAGGTCTTCTAGCCTCGTCTTGTATTTTCCAAAGAGGCCAGTTCCTTTTATTGGAGAATGATAATTAGAAACCAAGATCTGGGTGCTAAATGTGTTCACTGGCTAGTGGAGTGTCACTGCTCCTAGGCCCTCTCTGTGAACAGAGCTAAGAAATGTATGTATATATACACACAGACACATACATGCACAAGTACACTTCTTTCTGTGTCTATGTGTATTGGAAATATGAGTTCACACCAATACTGCCAATTCTATCCAGCACCACAGGGTTCAGGGTTCATTCTAGCCTTCACTCTTTCTGTATCATTAATTCCCTACCTTGAAGAATTTTTTGCAGAGTGAACACATGTACTTCAAGAAACAAAGCACTACTAGCTCCTCAAAAATCACTCTTTGTTCTTCTAGTCACTACTGTCCCAACCACCACTGTCCCACCCACCAGGATCACCACTACCTCTGCTTCTAATCCCATAGTTTGTTGTGTTTTTGAACTTTTTATATAAATCAAACACCATCACATCTACTTGTTTATTTCTGGCTTCTTTCACTCACATTATGTTTGTGACACTTATCTACACTGTTGTATATAATTGGAGTTTATTCCTTCTCATTGATACAAGGTATTCCATTGCATGAATATATCACAAAATCCATTCTACTATTGATGGCTATTTGGGTATATTTCAGCACTGTTACCAATAATTCTAGATTTTTATGTGTCTTTTGGTAATATACCTATGCATTTCTGATCAGTACATACTTTAGGAACAAAATGCAGAGGTATAGAGTATGTTGTTCAGCTTTAGCAAATACCGCTAAATACTTTTACTAAAAATATAACAAAAAATTGCATTGTCTGTTAAGTTCATTATAGTACGTTTGAGATTTGCTATGGAATATTAGGCAGCAATAATAATAATACAAGGCATACAGAAAAATGTCCATGGTATACCATTTGGCAATAAACAAACAAACAAATCAAAAAACTGGGTATTCACCTATATAAAAAACACAGTTCCGTGTGAGAGGGAGAATTTTCCTATTTTCTAAACTTAAATATTATTTTCATAATTAACATTTACATATATGATCAACATAACCTAACTGTAAACAATACTTTCACAATAAATATAAATCTGTTACCCCAAAAAGGTAGTGGTAGTTCTATATACTAGATAAAATTCCTCATACTGTCCATAGATCAGGGGTAAGCTATGAACTATATAAACATCATACATTTTGGGCATCCCTAACCCAAAATGCTGCAGAATTGGTAACTTTTTGAGTGCCGACATCATGCACATAGGACATGCTCATTGGAGCATTTTGAATTTCAAGTTTTCGATTTTGGAATGCTGAACCATTAAGCATAATGCATGTATTCTAAAATCTGAAAAAAATCCAAAGTCTGAAACACTTCTGTCCCAGGCATTTCGGATAAGAAATATTTAACCTTTAGTGATGTAAAATGTTCCTAGGAGGAAAACAAATCTTGAGCGAGCATAAGTATTTCACGGCCATCTGACTCAGGAAGCCAAGGGATCTCTCAAGATCCCTGGGAATGTATTTTTTTTTGGGGGGGGGGATATTTTAAATCTAATGTCTCCCTCCCGCTATCCTCATCTGCATCAAGTTATCCACATTTCTTTCCTTCCGTGCCCCAATCACGTTCTGTTTTCTTACCTCTGCATGAGGAAAAGGTGGTTCTGGGAGATACACCTTACTTTGTTTGTTGTGGCAAAGCCTTTAAAAGAGGAAAAGCAGAGCAACATGTTAGGTGGTGTTTGTTGCCACCTAGTGGCAGCAGTGCAAACCTTCAATAATGAAGTTAATTTAAAATTTTCCTGCCAGTGAATTTCACTGTGAACAAAAGTCAGTGCCTACACAGCATTCGAGACATAAGTATTTTTATCAGCATTCTCTTTAACTTTTAAAATTTCTCAGTACACTGTTTCTGGAAAAAAAGCTTTGTTATTTTGGAATAATTTTAGATTTAAAGGAAAGTTGCAAAGACAATGAAGTAGAGTTCCCATTGTACGCTTTATGCTGTGTCCCCAAGGTTAACATCTTATATATCATGGTAGTCATCAAGCTAGCATAAATTAGCATCAGAGCGTTACTATTAACTAAACTCCAGGCTTTATTCATCTTTCACTGGTTTTTCCCACCCATATCTTTTTCCTGTCCCAGGATCCAATCCAAGACACCATACTGCATTTAGCTGTAATCAGTTTTGAGGAGAAAGTGATCTACCTTGCAAAATGGCTTCTGTTTTTGTACATGAACTATTTTCTTAACAGTAGTACTCATAACTCCAATTCAGAGTAACCAAGGATCTCAGTCTGGAGACACTGAATGTCTCAGGTAATTTATGTTTTTTCCTACTCAGATATGATTTTAAAATACAGGGATGTCTGGATAAAGTAAATGTGGCAAAAAAAGTTTACAACTGATATATATATATATATGTGTGTGTGTGTGTGTGTGTGTGTGTGAGTGTTGTGCAGGTTTGACTTTTAAATGCTGGAAAAAATACAGTAATGTTCTTTTGTTAGAGCCCATCTGTCCATCTCTAAGAATTCTATTAAAATAGTCTGAAAGCGTTTTAACAATCCCAACAGATACTACTTTTAGGGGAAGAGCTTGGGACCTCAGGGCTTGGATTTTGCACTAATTTAATACACTGTGTCTCATTTTTCCTAGGCTTCATTTCCTTTAACTTTAATTTCAAAAACATCACTTTATATCCTTTTTGGAAGAAGATATAAATATGGAAGCCAGATGCTTTTGGAGAGTTACTTATAATATCTACATGTACACTAGTTCTGTCTTTATTTCCAGCTCAGGAAGAGAGACAAATATAAGAGCTTAGTTCTGAAGTTATTTACACTGCTCGAAAGGACATTAGGCTACAAACATTAGAAGGAGAGTTTACAGAACAGATTACAATATGATTAGAGACTGTGAAGCCCACCTACATAAAGTTCTGGTAAGAGACCCTTCCTTGCTCTGTCCTAGAACCTCACGTAGGCACAACACGCAGGGATTCACACCTTTCTAAGAGAGGCTCAAGAAGCTGACCGGAGCTGGTTTCTTCTGGGGGTGGCTGCTGCAGCTCAAAAGGAGATCTGTGTGCACTGGGTTATCCGGAAGAATGAAGAATAAGCGATGCTTCCCAAACCATCTCTAGTTGGGAGTCTGAGAAGTCCCCACCGTCCCTACTGGCCAGACATTCCATACTACACACTCTTCAGGGCACTCAATGCTTTTCAACAAAAGATCAGAGCAGTCGTTAGACGCTATCTCTCCCCATCTCTATCCCTGCAAACACAAAACAAGCCCAAACAACCAGGCAAGCCCTTAGCCTAAAACTGGGGTAGACACTGGGATGGCAAGGAGCCGGGCCTCCGTAGGTGCCAAAATAGGACCATGTGGAAGTCGGAGCAGAACCCCCGAGAATGGGAACCGTGGAGCCCAGGGGCCAGAGTGGCTGGGAGCAAACCCAGGCCAGCAGGCTGGGCCTGAGGCTGAGAGCCCAGGGCAACTGGGCTGTGGGATTCAGGCTCAGAGCAACAGAGGAAGGAAGCGAAACCCTCTGAGTGGGCTGTGGTGGTGCTGGCCTGGAGGGCCAAGACAGCAATTGCTCCCTAAGTTAATCCAAGTCTGGAGCGAGCATCCGACCCTGCAGTGACCGAGTTCCTTACTTAGGGAGAAAGGGTGCTTGACAGCAAGGCTGTGTAAGAGAGAACAGCCAAGTGACACAGGGACAGGTGCCAACACAGCAGGTGGCAAACTTTGTTTCAAAGCAGGAAAGCTCTTTCTAGGACAGTGGCTTTCAACCTCCAGCCACACGGGTTGGCCTTGCTGAGCTTTGCGAAACCCCAATACCTCACAGCCCTCAGACCCGATTAAATCTGAACCTCTGGGGGTGGGTCGGACCCAGCAGAAGCAGAAGCATCGGCACAGCCGCATTTACCCTTCCCAATGACTCCACTGTGACGCCAGCACAAGGACTGCCAGTTCTCAGAGGCGGAGGGAAGGGGGCCGCCCGTGCTGGCTGTCTGGGGACCGAAGGGTTCTCTGGGAGGTGGAACTTCAGTGCTAAAGCTGGGGCAGTGTGTCACTGTGGGTGAAGTTCCTGCAAGGAAAATATTTTTCTTAAAAACTTTAAAACAGCCAGGCTCGGTGGCTCAGCCTGTAATCCCGCGCCTTTGGAAGGTTGAGGTGAGTGGATTGAGCCTGCGGGTTCAAGACCCGCCTGGGCAGCGAAACCTCATCTCTACAATAAATTAAAAAATCAGCCGGGCGTGGTAGCGCGTGCCTGTAATTCCGGCTACTCGGAAGGCTGAGGCGGAAGGATCGCCGGAGCGCAGCGGGTTGAGGCTGCGGTGGTCGGAGTGGCTACTGTCCTCCAGTCTGGGTGACAGAGTGAAACTCCAACTCAAAAAGAAAACAAAACAAAACTTTAAAACAAAACGTGGTGTGTGTAAATTACATGGAGGGAAGAACACAGGTGTCAGCCCGCTCTTATTCTTTCTGCTTCTTTAACTGTTCCTCTTTCCACGTTTCCTAAAACGTTTTCTCTACCTGTTCCTGAAACGCGGGCACTTCTTAGCGTTCCATCCCTTCCCCACCGCCCTCCTGACAGAAATCCTCTCCGTAGGCAATCCCATTCATTCAGTGACCTCAGAGCTACTGAGGACACTGCCCAGCCCGCTTCTGAGATCCCTGGGCTGGGTAATGCTTCATCTCCCGTTCCACCTAGGCACCGCAGATGCCTCAGGGGCAAAACCAAACCAAGGCCCTGCTGCAGGAACCTGCTCTTCCTTTGCTGAACCTGTTTTGTTGGGGTCCAGGACAGGACAGGCTCTCTGGGCCCCTGCAAAGACTTTCCTGGTGCTTCAGTCTCCCGCTCCCTCCCAGCCTCCCCGAACTTCACATAACTGCAGGAGGAGCTACATGAAAGGCAAACATAATCATGTCAGTTTCCTGCTTAAAATCCTCCCATGAGTCCCCACTGTTGATGGGATCTAGACTTGGATCCTGCCATGCTCCACCTTGAATTTTATATTCTGACAGTAAAAGAACTAGGGATAGTTCTCTGAACAGACCACACCACTCAACTCTCCCATCTATGTCTTGGCCTCTGTCTTCCTCTCAACGCACACTGTCGATCCCCCAGCAGCCCACCCCGCTCATCCTCAAATAGAGTTTCGGTCTGGCTGATTCTTGGTCATTCTTCAGGAGAGCTTCCAGAAAGCCGTTTTTACATCCCCAACTGGGGTAGCCACCGCTTCTCTGAATACCACACAGATTTATGTATGTGGTGTGTACATATGTATGTGCTTATATTCATCTCTGTCAGATTACTTCTGAGTGGTAAGAGGTCTACACAACTGCCCCTTCCTTCATGGTGAAGACTCCTCAAGGTCAGAGACCCCTTCGTATCCCCAGGGTTTAGCACATGGTGACACTTAACAAAGGTTTATGGATTGAACGAAATAAAACAGATGGAAACAAGAAGTAATTATATGCTCACTGAGTTTAAGATTCTAAGGCAAGGATATTAAAAAAGCTTAAAAGATGGAGACACATCTCATGTCTCAGCATGAGAATACTACTGCAAAGATGTCAATCTGTAATTGATAGGTTTTATCCACTCAAAAAGATATTCTGAAAATTGATAAAGTGATTCTACAGTTCTTACACAAAAATAAATAAGAATAGCTCAGAGAATTTTGACTAAGAAAAATAATGAAGGGAGAAATGTACTTTACCACAGAGTACGGTTATAAATGAGGTTGCAGATATTAAACAAATTAGGACGACGCTGGTTAAAGAATGGGTAGATCCATCAGTCAGGATAGTCTAGAAAAAACCCGGCGTATATAAAAGCTTAGTGTATGATATTAATACAAATCAGTTGGAAAAGGTAACATTATTCAGTATATATCACCTGGACAAGTAATTACTTGACTGTTTGGGAAAAAAATTAAGTTCGTGCTTCTCTTCATACTACACACTAAAACAAATTCTAAAGAGTTAAGGGGGAACAGTCAAAAAAGAAGAAAATAAGCGACAGGAATAAACTGAAAGAAAATGTTTAGCCATGTGGCACCCATGGGGGAAGACTTTTTCTTTAAATAGACTTGGAGGTACAAATGGTTTTTGGCCTGGGCTTTACGTGTCCCCTCCATCCCCATCTGTGTACACTGTACCTGATAGGTGACTTTCTGTCCCCACCCCTTTCCCCTCCCCCTTCTGAGTCTCCAGTGTCCATCAGGCCATTCTCTATGTCTTTGTGAATCCTTGGTTTTGCACCCACTTAAAAGTAGAAAATGTGGTGTTTGGTTTTCTGTTCCTGCATTAGTTCACTCAGGATGATGATCTCCAATTCGAGGGGGAGAATTTTCTAAATTACTAGCAATGGAAGAAATCACAAAAGACATTAAAACGATCAAAATATATAAAACTAAAGAACTTCTGTCAAAAAGAAAAAATCAAAGGCCTAAATACAATGTGGTACCCTGGATTGGATCCTGGAACAAAGGACATCAATGAAACAACTGGTACAATCAGAATAAGGATTGGAGTTTGGTTAATAACAATGTGCTAATGTTCATTTCTTAGTTCTGGCAAATGTATATGGCTATGTGAGACATTAACATTTGGGGAAAAAGAGTGAAAAGTATATGAAACTCTTTGATCTGTCTTTGTACTTTTCTGTAAATCTAAAATCACTCGAAAGTACTGTTTATTATTTTAAAAACATTTAAACAATCACTGACAAAATTAAAAAAGAAAATGAGAAATAGTCTACAGAAATATAACAAACGGTTGGTATCTTTAACACGTACATAAAGAGTTCAAATAAATATATAAGAGGAGTACAAAATCACTAATAAGTAAATGGGCAAAAAGGGAACAATTTATATAATCTTTCCAGAAAGCAATTTAGGTTCAGATAGTGAACATTAAGAAATATTTATATCCTTTGTTCCAGTAATTCCACTTTTAGTAATTTACCTAAAGTGAAAGATGTCATTATATATACGCAGAATGATATTAACTGAAGATTTATTACCAAAAGCAAAAAAATTGGAAAAAGCCCATCCATCTAATAACAAAATAGCTACACTGCACCATATACAAATCATATAATAATGTAGCTATACAAAAACGATATTCTCAAAGGCCTGATAATATTTTAGTCTAATATTTAATTTTTAAAAGCAGGATTCAAAATTTAAAATTCAGCATGATTCCTATATAGAAGGAAGAAATACATCAGACTGCTAATAGTGATAAATTATTTCTGGATTGTGGGATTGTGAGGTCAATTTTTGTTTTTTAAACTATTTTCTGTAACTTTAATTTTTTTATAGTAAACATGTATTGTAACAAATATTAGAAATTAACATATAGCTAAAAAACAGAACCGCACAACCCCCTGTCATTTTAGTATTCCTGAAATCCAGCCAATAAAATATTCCACAACTCGAAATGTATGTGGTAGACAAAGGTTTGAAGAGCCTATGTCCTATTGGGATCCCATCCACTGAGGCCTGTAGGGCTGGCCCAGGAGTATTTTTTCAGTATTTGCACTGAGGATCTGGATGAAGAAATTCAGAACATGCTGATTAAATCCGAAGTGACACTCAGGATGGACTACTAATTACTCAAGATTACCTGCCTATGTTGGGGGGGAAAAAGGACCCTGTGCATAAAGGAAAAAATTCGGTGGGTACCAATAAAAAGTGACCAAGATGAGTAATATGCACATGGGATAGAGAAGCCTGTCTGAACAGATACAGAAAAAAGACCACAATTAAAAGGGTAAAAATGTACTTAAGAAAAACAAGCTGGGGTGGGGGTAGCATGATGTTGGGATATATATGGAAGAATGATGCACAAATTCCTTTTTAATTAGAAACTCAGTACATGCTGTGGCCATCTGGCTAATACACTGCTGAAAGGGATTAAACACATCCTTAATCACGTGTGTCACAGCCTCTGAACGTTTGGAAACACCACCTTAAGGCACCACTAGGCATACTGTGAAAGTTAAGTTAATCTATTTCCCTCTCCTCCCTTTATTTTTGGCTAGGGGAGTTAGAGTCAAATCTGCATCTAAATAATCCTAAAAAGGTTCAGTGATTTTATATTGCTCTATAGCTTGCCAGTCCTGGAATTTGATCAAACAATTTCCCATTGTAATAAAATATAATTTTGTTAGCCGGGCTCGGTGGCTCAGCCTGTAATCCCGTGCCTTTGGGAGGCTGAGGTGAGTGGATTGCCCGAGCCCGCGGGTTCGAGACCTGCCTGGGCAGCGAGACCTCATCTCTACAATAAATAAATTAAAAAAATCATCCGGGTGTGGTAGTGCATGCCTGTAATTCCGGCTACTCGGAAGGCTGAGGCGGAAGGATCGCCGGAGTCCAGCAGGTTGAGGCTGCGGTGGCCGGGAGCGGCCACTGCACTCCAGTCTGGGCGACAGAACGAGACTCCAACTCAAAATATATATATATATATAATTTTGTTGAATATCATGTCATTGAAATTTTTTAAAATCTAGTTTTTTGCTTATCAGATTTGGCATTACACAATTTAGACACCATGAGCTTGGGCTTGACATTTTTTTTCGCTTTTAGAATGCTACTTTACTTTGTAACAGGCAGAGGGTGGCATGTAAGAAGGTAATTATTTGAGATTTTTGCTACTGATTTTGAAAGTGCCAAGTTAAGTCTTTGCCTTGCATCCTTCCCTCTTTGTTAACTATTCTTCTAAACTCTAGCAATATAGCAGACTTGGCTTTTAGTAATACAATCTTCTCATCACAGACACAGAAAAATGAAGATTTCCTAGTAATGTGAGAAAAGGGATTATTTTTATTCTTCCTGCCCGAATGTCTTGAATCAAACAGAATTCATAGAGAAAAACACTGACATACCACTCAGCAAAGATCTGGGAAAACTCAAGTGAGCTGTTAGCCACAGGAGAGATGAAGTAGAGGGGGACGCTGGAGAGGCCAGCTGAGTCGATGTACTGATACAGGCATTCCAGGAGGTCATAGATCACTCCAGAAGGGTAGCAGGGAACCAACACGTTTCCTCCGTTCCGGACTGTCAGAGCTGGAGGAGTTGAAGCCGGAGAGGGAAAAAACAGCACCAAAATAAAAGGGTTAGAATGGTAAAATGTGACTCTTAATATCCGTATTTCTCTTATCATCCTCCTGTTTTTATAATTCATTCACACATGTAATAATCTACTTCTTTTGAAGGACAGCCCCAAAGTAGGGAACTCTAGAGGCTGATGGCTGATTTTTTCATCACTGTCTAATACAGGTCCCTGGGGATAGAGTGTGCAATCAAGAGCTTAGGCTTTATTTTACTTTATTTTTTACTGGGACAATATCTATTCCAAAGGGTTTTACAGGTTGCCAGGGGCAGCTGAACTTCAGGACAAAACCTCCAAGCTCCTTCTCTTTTTAGGTCCTGCTAAAAAATTTGTTGTTTGTTTTTTTTGAGTTGGAGTCTCACTCTGTCGCCCAGACTGGAGTGCAGTGGCCGGGAGCAGCCTCAACCTGCCTCAACCTGCTGGGGTCCGGCAATCCTTCTGCCTCAGCCTTCCAAGTAGCTGGAACTACAGGCGTGTGCTAAAACGCCCGGCTAATTTTTTGATTTATTGTAGAGATGAGGTCTCGCCAAGTTGCCCAGGTGGGTCTCGAACTCACGGGCTCAGGCAATCCACTCACCTCAGCCTCCCAAGGCGCGGGATTATAGGCTGAGCCACCGAGCCCGGCTCCTGCTAAAAAATTGGCTGGATTTGTCTCTGTTCAATCTCTGTCTACGGTTGAATGACCTATAAGGAAACAGGCCAAGTTCTTCCTTTTGACTCATTTAAAAAATGATATTTTCTTTCATTAATGTCAGTTTGTAAGAAAATTCTCCATACTTCCAATACTTATCAAATGAAGAACTTAACTTATGGGTTATAATTATATTAACTGGCTTAAAGAAAATCAAAGTGCCTACTCAAGTTTGTCTTCACTTAGTTTCCAAGCAAATTGAAAAAAACGGCTTTGGGGTGCAGAACCTGAAGTCACTGATGCCTGAGATCCTCCTGGTTCCCAAATCTGATGTACAGGTTCACCTGGACACCGTCACTTGCGTACTGTGGACTTGCTATGACCGAAGTATGGCAGAGTAACAAAAGTCAGCATCACTGGTCATGGCTAAAGAGCCTGCTCTGTCCTTGCTTTGTCCCAAGCTATAACAGGAGCACAGGAAAGCGACTACAGCCTTGCTGGGCCTCAGCCTCCTCGTCATTTATGAAAAGAATGAACGAGGACCAGTGATTTTCAAGTTCTAGTTTGCATGAAAATTGCCAATGAACGAGCTGAAAAGGCAATCTTCCTTTTCTCCTGCGTCTCTCTTCTACCCAGAGATTCTGACTGACTAGGGTCTGTTACAGGGCCCCCAAACGTGCGTTTTAAATAAGTCATCTCACTGCTCTTGAGGCAGGTGATTAGGGGACCCTACTTTGAGAGACAGTGGATTAGCTTTAAGGTTCAAACCTAAAGTTTTTTGAGTCTATGATTCTAGATTATAAACCTACCAGTCAACCAAAGAGTCAATCTGAGATTAGTCCAATAATTTTTCCAAGGTGAGAATAATTATTTTGGTTTGATAGCAGCAAAAAACCAAAAAGATTATGATTATTAGCATTATTAAGTGAAACTTCAAAAGACAGTGCTTCCCATGTAAACATAAGAAGGTGACCATTTCTTTCTCCTACAGCAGAAGTAATACAAGACCAAGCTCCTCTTTGGTAACTGTCATGGGTTGAATATTTGTGTAACCCCCAACATTCATAAGTTGTAACCCTAACCTGGAATGCAATATTAAGAGGTAGGGCAGTGGTCCCCAACCTTTTTGGCATCAGGGACCAGTATCATGGAAGACAGTTTTTCCACAGACGGGGGTAGGGGGGAAGAGGGAGGATCATCAGGCATTAGATTCTCATGAGAGTACGAAACCTAGATCCCTTGCGTGTGCAGATCACAACAGGGCTCACGCTCCTGTGAGAATCTAATGCCACCGCTGAACTGACAGGAGACAGAGCTCTGCTCACCCGCCGCTCACCTCCTGCTAGGAACCAGTACTGGTCCATGACCCAGGGACTGGGAACCCCTAAGGCAGGAACTTTGGGAAGTAATTAGGATTAGAGGAGGTCATAAGGGTGGAGCCCCAGGATGGGATTTAGTGTCCTTGTAAGAAGAGGAAGAGACACCAGAGCTTCCTCTCTTCTTCATGTGAAATCATAGCAAGAAGGTGGCCTCTGAAGGTACAAAGAAGGCCTTCCACAGGAAACAACCAAAACAACCAAAAGAGATTTTACTGATATAGTCAAAGAGAAATGAATGTCTTCTAGGTAGAAAACACTCCACAAGTCTCTCAATTTAGTCTTTCCCCAAAGGAGGAAAAACCAAACAAAAACCAACCAAATAGTAGGAGGATAAAATATACCTGTTTGTTGTATCACTGTTGCAAATTCAGAGTGCAACAGTCTTTTCTGTGCTATTATTTGCAAAGCAAAGATGTGACTCTTCCCTTCTTTGACAACTGCTACTCTTCCCCGAGCCAAGTTCCACCACAAAGCGAGGGGGTTAAAGAAAAATTATCTGTAGAAGGTTAAGTATTTGTTGTATAAAGTGCTAACAATTCTAATTTATTGTTGTAACAACCATTCTTACCGCACCTTCAGATTTAAGTGACTTAAGAATTGCTCTTATTGACCACAGTAGGCTCTGAAGGAAAGGGTGGAAGTAAATGGGGGCGGGGAGGTCCCAAAAGGGGCATTCGAGGGATAAATGTGAAGGGAAGGACAGAGATACTATGGAAGCAAGGGGTGGAAAAACAAACTCCAGATGTCTCATCCAGTTTAAAATTTGAGACAGCCACGTACCCAGGTTGCTGCAAAACTCTCCCACCATGCCATCAGGGTTTGCAGTGGGAATCTGGGTGAGCCCGGTCAGAATAAGAACATCGCTGTTTTTGAGAGACGCTTGGTCCATGGGCTGAAAAACAACAGAGAACTATGTTTAGTAATTTAAAAAGGAATGTCATCTACAAATAGTAAAGAAGCCAGAGAAGAGAGACATTGCTTTTTCTATGTCCCACCCATCACTGAGTTCTCTTACCTTCTCTAAAGAAAATTCTGTCCTTGACCATCAGTTGCCTAAGGGGTTTGGGGACCCACAGGAGGAGGCACGGGGAGCTTTATGAACAAGTTCTACATCTTCACTGGGTGGTGACGATATCATAGCAAAAGTCATGGCGTTGTACATTTAAGATCTTTGCGTTTCAATATATATACATCGCACCTCAATTAAAACAAAGCATCTCATATTTCTTTGCATTAATGCTATCTGACACGTATTACTGGTGGCTCTCAAACTTGAGTGCGCATCAGGATCACCTGAAGGGTTTGCTCACACACGGATTGCTGGGTCTACGCCTAGAGTTTCTGATTCAGGTCTGAGGTGGGGCCTGAGAATTTGCATTTGTAACAAGTTCCCAGGAGATGCTCTTGTTGCTGGCCTGGGGATCACACTTTGAGAACCACCGAATTGTATAATCTGATTCTCAGAATAACTCTGTGAAGTACAGGAAATAAGTGTGCGTTATGGGAATACGAAAGTTGGAACTTACCCTAAATCCTAAAGGCAGAGAAGCCATGAAGAATACCAGTCCCATGACCAGTCCCGTGACCTTGGCCAAGGCTCTGAGCTGGGCTTCCTATACAATGGGGCTACTTCTCGACTTATTTCCCTTAGATGGTGTCTGTGAGTCTCAAGCGCTAACACACTGACCATCTTGTGAAATGAAATCCTATGGCACACTGCTATGTGATCCTCAGGAGGTTGTGTTTTTATCTTTACACAGCACAATTTGAATTTAATCTTCACTGTTTTCAGAGCATTTCCCAAAAATACTACCTTTTCGAAATAAATCAGGATTCCAACTGAAACAAAAATGAAGGCCCATGGACTGAGAAGCTAGAGAGCTCATAAACGTTTTCATCTTGTAGCACATCTTTTCCTTACCTCCACTTAAGATGTCCATTGGAAAGTTAGAAGAAAGAAGTCAGCAACCAGCTTACTAAGAAGGCTGGCTTATGCCTTTTCTCTGTTCTACCCTGTGAATTCTCCAAGAAAGACATAAGATTCCAAATAGTAGCCAGGCAAAGTGCCACCATCTGGATTGTTCTGAGTATGTATGCCTTTTGAGGTATTTTCCTTCAGTATTTTATAAAAGCTTAAATACGTGGGCTTCATTAGGTTTTTTTTTTTTTCTTCAACAAGAATGAGCTTAAGCTGGGTGTATTACTGGTGGCTCACACCTATGATCCCAGCACTTTGGTAGGCAAGGCATGAGGATTGAGTGAGCTCAGGAGTTGGAGATCAACCCAGGCAACATAATAAGATCTCATCTCTATAAAAATTAAAAAAAAAAAAAATTGATTGGGTGTGGTGGCTTGCATCTGCAGTCCCAGTTACTTGGGAGGCTGTGGCAGAAGGGATCACCTGATCCCAGGGGGTCGAGGCTGTGGTGAGCTGTGATCATGCTACTGTACTTCAGTCTGGGAGACAGAGACTTGGCAACAACAACAACAACAAGCTTAAAAATTATTTTTTAAATAACAGGACTGTGGTCATACACTTTATAATCGAAGCAGCTTTATACTCTGGAAAACAATTCTTTAATATGGATACAGAAAAGTCTAGTGGTAAAGATGACAACTATATGTGAATAGCTCCTAATTTCTATTTGCACAGATATATACCAATGTGTGTGAAAGCCTTTTCTCTGCTTGGGCAGAACTAATCTAACTACTTGTTCTTCTCCAATAAATATATATGCATTCGTTGTTTCCACAGAAGAAAAGATGGGAAGCAAAGTATAGTGGTTTTTAGTAGCAGATTTGTACCAAGCTTGGATTGTTTCTTGAGTGCATGCATCAACCGGAAAGAAACCAGAATGGTGACAAAAGAGACCAAGCATTGTTGGGTAGCATATTTAGCCAAAAATGACAATGATTTTTTATGTACCTTGTTAGAATAAACCAATAATGAGCCCCAGGGCTGATGGGGGTTGGGAGTCTTCAGAGGGCCCAGGAATGCCCTGAAATGGCATAAACAATTTTGTGTGTCCTACGTACATTTTCCTATTTGTCATACGGAGCCATGACCCCCAAAAGGTTAAAAACTACAGATCCAGATGTAAAAACACGACAAGGAACAAATCCTGGCCCTTAAAAAAATTCTCTTTGAGCCTCGGCACCAGCATCTTCTTCCTCTGAAAACTAAATGCCCACCAACAAGCAGAGGCAATACTGCAATGTGAATACCGCTGAATTTGAACAGTTATAAGATACTTCATGATTACGTTAGACTGGATGGAAGCCTGTAATTTTAGCTCTATAACTCAGAGACATTTCTCGTTGGTTCTCAGGGCTACTGTAAAGAAGCAGGCTTAAAAGCCTTTTTAGTGACACTCTCCAAACCAAGCTGACACCTCAAACATCTCCATTTCACCACCGAAGGGCAAATGTATAGATTACTGGTGTCCATGGTCACTCACCGAGTGCTGCAAGTGGGAACATTCTGTTCAAACACACACACGCACACACACACACAAATCCATCTTGTTCAAATATCTACTAAAAATACTCTACAAAAGTTGACAGTCACAACAAGCTTGGGAAATGCAATTTTGAGAAACCCTAGGCCTAAGAATGTTACAGCCACTGTGTTGGTCCCTGATGGTTAATTGATATTGAACCCTTGGCACAAGGCATAAGAAAAAGAAGACCCAGACTGTAGGCTCTAAAAACTTACAGTTGAGTAATAAAAAAAGGATTAGCTGGGTGTGGTGGTGCACGCCTGTGGTTCCAGCTACTTGGAAGACTGCGGCAGAAGGATCGCTTGAGCCCAGCGGGTCAAGGCTATGGTAGCCGTGAGTGGCCGCTGAACTCCAGCCTGGGCGACAGAGGGAGACTCTAACTTTTTAAAAAAGAGAGTTTTTCAAAAAGTCATAGAAAATACCATGCAAATTTTAAGAGTCTGCACAAATGCCAAGAGGAATGCTGATTAGCTAAGCCGGGTCAATCGAGGTCAGAAAGCTATGCTTTTTGACAGATCAAGTTTTGTTTCCAGCTTTCTCCTCTTCTTTGGCTAAGGAACTTAACACTCAATCTCAGACATCCCAGGCCACTCCTGTCTTTGGATCATCTCCCTGATCCCCGCCCCCCATACCAAGGTGCCCCTTCTGCATGTGCCCTGGGTATCCAGAGCTTTCTATCTATCTCAGCAGGAATCACACCCAGTCATAACAGCCTATGTATTTATCTGCATCTCCCACAAGAACATGGGGCTCCTGAGGACAAGAACTTGTATCCCACCGCCTAGTAAAAGGCCTGGCACATAGCAAATACTAAATAAACATTAGCTGAATAAACGAATACGTAAAGAAGACGTGGTCGGATAGAAAATGTGAGATTTTCACACTGGGAAGCAGTACACTTGAAGTCAGCAAGGTGAGAATTAGCAGGAAGGGCACAGGGCACAGGGCAGGGGAAGACAGCCTGTAGATGCCAAATGCATTTACTTTGTTAGAATGGAAAGCCTACCTTGGGGCCGAGAAAGGAGATTAGGAAAAGAGAAAGTGTAATCAGAAAGGGGCCAGAAAGGTCAGAATCATGCTGACTGACAGAATGGGCAATAAGGAGTCTGAAGCAGGGAAATGACACTCTGTGAACAATGATTACAGAAGATAGCTGCAGGAGGGGGTGAGAGCAAACAGAGGGAGAACTCTCTTAAAGCCCCTACAGCAGCCCACACACAAAGAGAAGCAAATTACAATTTCATGGCAATTGAGGAGTTGGAAGAAGCAGACCTACTCGCCTGATCAGTTGCACCCTGCAGAAAAGTTCTGAAAGTATACATCTTCTTCCCCTTAGAAAACAATTAATAGACATTTGGGAGTGGGTTGGATATATTAGGGCAAAGGAAAGGCAAGACTTTAAGATGACTCCAAAATGTGAAGTCAGAGATGCAATCTAAGGGAAATTTGAAAGATGCGCCGATGTAAAAGACTAAGGAGGCAAGAAGTTCAGGGTTGGCAAGCTGCAAGAGTTTTGGGGCTAGCTAAATGCACTTAGCTGAGAATAAAAGATAAAACGACGGGATGTGAAGTCTGTGGAGATCTGTTGAGTACCTTCGTCTTAGTAGCTAACAGAGATGTCAGTTTAGACAGTGAGGAAGGAGCAGCGGGTCTAGCACCAAGGTGGGCCCCACAGGTTGATGGGAAGAGGAACACAGAGAAGAGAGAAGGACTAGTGCAGACAGGAACTTCCCTGTTTGTGAAAATGGGGAGGCTGGAAAAGATAACTTGACAGGCAAATAGAGTCATAAGAGGAAAACAGTAACAACAACAACCTGTTCCGGAAGCCTAGACTACAAAGACTCTCAGCAACAGACTGATCAGCAGCATACAATACAGATGTGAGATGCCATGAAAAGTGGGAAAAGTCAGTCCGGCAGGAGCTGATCACTGTAGAACCAGAGATGGGGATTTCTCAGAACGTGAAACCAGATCCATGAGGTAAACCGGGAGAAAGCCAAGATATACAAGACTGAGGTGAACTGGGTGTGCAGGAGAAATCTTATTGCGCATAAAATAAGAACAAAAACAGGAGTCAGGTGATGAGGCTGAGTCATCTGAGGACCTTTTCCACACGAAAACCTTTGGATTTGCTTAAAAGCAGAGAGGAAAGAATCGGTGAACAAGTTAATGGCTCAGTCATGTATAATTCTCTGATGAAAGAGAGGAAGAAAGACAGGTGGGACCACCAGACTTAGCCTTCCACGTCCAACGCAAACCCACTCTCCCCAGCTCCCTAGTTGGAAGGGATGTACCCTCCTTCTGAATCCCAGAGCACTTAAGTGACTTTCTAATTTGGAACTAACCACTTACACTCTGGAGAAAAGTTCTGTTATGTACACTTCTTCTTCCC